ATTTCATAAAAGTCACGATTTTTCTTAAAAATCGCAACTCTTCGTAAAAGTTACATCTTTTTGTGAAAAGGAAAAACTATTTATGAAAATAAATAAATTTAAAAGTAAATTCTAGCTAGTGAGTGCCACGCTGACGAATTTAAGGTTTTCTTTTATATAAATATATGATATAATTGAAAGATAATAAATTTTTTCAAAAGTAAAGTTTGATTTTAAAAGATGTATTATTATATGTGGTCATGTGGACTAGATTTTATAAAAAATGTATATAAATTATAGTACTTTCTTAACATGTATTTGAATGTTATTAAGTGTTTACTCATCATTAAGAAAATATATCTAAATTAGACTTTATGCATATATAATAAAATTTTAAAAATCTACGAATACATACATATACAAAGTTGACATTGTACTTGATTCATCTAAACTAGGAAATAGACGTGTTGCATGATTATTATATCTGATATTAACAACTTCATGAAGTATGTATCATAGCCATTGTATCACATACAAGAAAGACATAATATATAAATATGTCCCTTGACTTGGTTTTGAATCATATTCATGTATTTCAACTTTGGGTATATACAAGTAGTCACTTAAATTTGTATAAAATTGAACAAATAGACACACATGTCTTACATGTCATTTTGTCTTACGTGTATTTTGTCATGTAAGACTCTATGTATTTATTTATTTAAAAGTTGGATAGTTAAGTGTCTGTTTGTGTATTATGAAAGTTGAAGGTCGAAATTAAATTTTGAAACCAAGTTTAGAGTCTAATATATATATTATGCATAGTAAAAATGACCCGTCATTTACTCCTCTATTTAGATTTTCAAAAAAGCAAATGCCCCACCCCAAGCCCCTAACCTACCCCGTTTAAATGTTTCCCAGCCCTGTCAAGCCCGCCGCGCCTTATTTCAGTGGATGAGGAACAACCATCCTTTTGACCGAAGTTTGTCAATACCAACTACACGTTAAATACCTAAGAAAACAATTTATTGTACGGAGGATGAAGCGGATTAGAAGCAACAGCATGAGAAAATAAGTAAGAAATTCAATGATAAAAAGCTGGCAAACTAACAAATGTTCTTATGTACCTCTGAAGTGAGAAAGAAACTAATCCAAATGTTAATCACTTTTTCTGCACTAACATTCAAGAATGAAACTTCCCCACCTCAACTAAACTGCAGCCAGGAGTTCTCCTTTGTGTCATCTCATGTCTAAGCATTATTTTCTCCTCCCACATGCCCTTCGCAGCATAGATATTAGACAATGCAACATCATCACCAACTAGACTAGCGTTTAACTCACGTAATCTAGACTGAGCCACTGCAGCAAGTTCTTCGTTGCCATGAACACCAGAGGCACCTAGTAAGGTCCTCCATATAACTGCATTTGGTTGAATTGGCATTGCCAAAATAAAGCTATATGCCTCTTTTAGCAGTCCAAGACGGCATAACAGATCAACCATGCACCCAAAGTGAGAAAGCCTGGGCTTTATACCATACTCTTCAATCATACTTCTAAAATATCTTTTCCCCTCTTCCACCATCCCCGCATGGGAACAAGCCATTAGAACCCCTATAAACATAACATCATTCGGAACAAGTAATTGGTCCTTAGTTCCTCGGCATTGAATTGATCTTGACTTGTTTTCTTCTTCCAGTGCAGAAAACAGCCTTAGCGCTTCTTCTGCTTGGCCGTGTAATGCATGCCCAACAATCATGGATGTCCAAGTCCTAATATCCTTAACTCTTATATTATCAAACACTAACATAGCTTTTCTGATATCCCCACATTTTACATACATGTTCACCAGAGCATTCATTAAAGATAAATCCTCACTAAACTCTGGCTTTCGACTTATAAGATCATGAATCCACACCCCTTTATCCAATGCTCCCATATCAGCACAAGCCGACAGGGAAACAGTGAATGTTACCTGATCAGGCTCTACACCATCCATTTGCATATGCCTGAATATCTCTATGGCTCTGTATGGTTTCTGATTTCGCACATACGCAGAAATCAGTGAAGTCCAGCACACAACATTCTTGTTGGGTATTTCGTCAAACACCCTGTGCACATCAGCAATATTTGTAGTTGCAGCGTACATATCCATGAGCGATGTTTGAAGAAAAATGATGCGTTCGTAGCCAAGTTTGATTACAAGGGTATGGGTTTGTTTGCCTTCAGTTCCCAATGATTTCTTAGTACAAGCTTTGATTACATACAAGAGAGAGTAGCTATCTACAGCAGAAATCTTTTTCCTCAGCAAGTCAGAGAACAAGAATATGGTCTTGATTGGATTGGACTTGAGGTAACTTTTCAGACTCAGATTAATTCTTGTTGGTTTAAGATGTGTAGCGAGATTTATTTGGGGTTGCACTGCGCTTGTAAAAGGCTTGGCCACCTTATGCAAGAATCTTGTCATTTGGTCACAAGGTGCAGACCTTAGATTTTATGGCAAGGAAGTAGCTTCTGTGCTCCTTTATGTTCATTTACAGCAGTGTCTGAATAAAACGAAATGAGCTTCCTTTTTAGCCTTTCATCTTTGAAGACAGTGGAGTGTACATGGACTTTGGTTTTTCTTTTTACGTTGTTACTTCTTTTTCGGGACTGCTCAGAAGTTATCTAGATACTATTGTCTATAAGCTTTTTATATTTCACTTTGTGCAATTACATTGAATATGTTGTTGTTGGCGCTGCGTTTACTGCAGATAGTAATGGTATAGACCAAGTTTAAATAATGAGTTGCTAGTATAAAAAGGACCGTATTTCAATTATATTTTGTGAGATTGAATGTCAGTTGAAGAATCAGTTCCCGCCAAGCAGAGAGGATCAAGAGCTCTCCAACAACGACTCTTTTCTCTCTTGCAGAGCTGCAAATCTATCAAACAGCTAACACAGATCCACGCCCACGTTATCACCAATGGATTTACCCAGAAAAATTTCATTCTTGTAAGATTACTTTCTCCTTTCTTAACATCTTACAGTCTCAAATATGCCGACCATATTTTCAGTCAAGTTCGAAGTCCAAGCACCACCCTTTGGAACCAAATTATTAGGGGTCATGCCCGTAGCGAAAACCCACAGAAATCTATTGAACTTTTTAATCAAATGGAGATATCAACTGCCATGCCTGATGGGTATACATATTCCTATGTACTTAATGGTTGTGCAAAAGGGGGTTTGTTCAGGGAAGGTCAGCAGGTTCATGGGAAGATTGTAAAAAATTGGTCTTTGCTAAATGTGTTTGTTCAGACTAATTTGGTTAATTTATATTCAACAACCGGAGGGGAAAACTGCATTGATAATGCACAGAAGATGTTTGATGAAATGACCGAGAAAAATGTTGTGACTTGGAATTCATTGCTGTTTGGGTATTTTAGAAATGGGGATGCTGATGAGGCTCTTAGACTTTTCGATGAGATGCCACATAAGAATGTTGTTTCCTGGACGACAGTGATTTCAGGATGTACGCAGAATGGAAGATGTCAACATGCGCTGGCATTGTTTCGCCTGATGCAAAGGCGTCATGTGGAATTTGATCAGGTGACTTTAGTGGCTGTGTTATCAGCATGTGCTGAATCGGGAGCTCTGGATCTGGGGAAATGGATTCATTCAACTGTTGTTGAGTCCTCACAGTTGAGGAATGAGCCGGTGTTGGTGTCATTTTACAATGCACTTATACATATGTATGCTAGTTGTGGTGAAATAGAGGAAGCTTATCGAGTATTTGAAGAGATGCCTAGAAGAAACTCCATTTCTTGGACCAGTATGATCACAGGTTTTGCAAAACAAGGGTATGCACATGAAGCTCTTACTATTTTCCAGCAGATGGAAAGCTGGGGAGGAAATGATGTTAGGCCGGATGAGATAACATTCTTAGGTGTTCTGTTTGCTTGCAGTCATGCTGGTTATGTCAACGAGGGATACCGATACTTTAGATGTATGAAAGAGACTTGGGATATTGAGCCAAGGATTGAGCACTATGGATGCATGGTTGATATGCTCAGTCGTGCTGGACTTTTTGATGAAGCCACGACACTTGTTGAGACAATGCCTATGAAGCCAAATGAGGCTGTTTGGGGTGCTCTTCTTGGTGGATGCAAGATACACAAAAATGTGAGACTAGCTTCTAGCATAGCTCAAAAGTTGGCTGTGGAGCTTGAAGCTGATAGAGCTGCTGGCTACTTCGTGCTCTTGTCAAATCTATATGCAACTGAAAAGAGGTGGCAAGATGTTGTAATCACGAGACAGAAGATGTATGGAATGGGTCTTAAAAAGTCTCCAGGTCAAAGCAAAATAGAAGCTGACGGTACGACTCATAATTTTCTAGCCAGTGACCTAAGTCACAAGCATACTTGTTCAGTCTATGAGATGCTTGGTCTGCTCACTAGTCAAGCCAAATTGCAAGGTTACCCGCAAAATATTTCAGAGGGGGAATTAATAGTTTGATGTTCATTTGTCTTTGAAAATACATGCGTCTCACCCAATTGAATAGTTTGAGAACAAAATGATAAAAGTTTCTTTGTTCGAGTTAGCCAGTTTTATATGATCAGATCCGAATTTGTTCACAAAGATAGACATTACCCAAATTTTGGAATACATCTCAAGTTTCTTCATATAGATTTGGAAGCAAACAAGGAAGATAGGCATGAGCTGTGGATTTTCAACGAGGGGTTCAAAATCTAAAAAAATACAAACAAAATATATACCTAAAAATTATTTTACCTATACATAAATGTAATTTTCCATCGAACAACATTTGAATGAACCGTATCAATGAGGTGGGTCGTGACATACACGTTTGAACTACTAACAGTATAGTATAATTCATTTGACGCGCTAAACAAAGAATATGGCTCAGCACTCAGCAGTTATAATTTATACCCTCCCTGCCCAAAAATCAAACATATTTTAAATTTATCAAATTACTTTCGAAAATAATATGTGATAAAATCCTGAATGTGATAAATTGTTTATTTTTTTGAAAATAAAAATGTTGGCGGGATAGGCCATGAATAGAAAAATTTGAACCTGCAAAATCAGTAAGCAAATAAAGGAAGCTTCTTCGTTCCCTGTGAAAATATTTCTCATGCACGTCTATATACATATCTGATATACATAAAACCTGTCGGAAGCAAGAACCATTTTTCCTTGCTAGTTTTTGATTTTCGGAGTTGATGATGATGGGCGATGAGAGGATGGAGGTAGCCTTCTTCGATGTTGAAACTACTGTACCGACCCGACCCGGACAAGGATTTGCGATCTTAGAGTTTGGGGCTATTCTTGTTTGTCCAAGGAAGCTCGTCGAGCAAGAGACTTATTCTACTCTCGTACGACCCACTGATCTCTCCCTCATTCCCACCCTCTCTGTTCGCTGTAACGGCATTAACCCGGAAGCAATCACATCTGCTCCCACCTTCGCTGAAATCGCTGAAAAAGTCTATGAAATTCTCCATGGTTAGCTTTACACCCACCAGCTCCCATGTTTATCTCTTTCTACGTGCCATTTGGAAGTTTATTCATTTTCAGTGTTTTTGATTGTTGAGTTTTAGGATGGCTTATTAGCGAAGGGCTGATGTGCTTGTCATGTGTTTGTGCAGGGAGAATATGGGCAGGCCACAATATACTGAAATTCGATTGTCACAGGATACGGGAAGCATTTGCTGGGATTAATAAGCCAGCACCAGAGCCTAAAGGAATTATTGATACATTGGCCTTATTGACTCAGAGATTTGGAAGGAGAGCTGGTGACATGAAGGTATATAAATATTGCACCTATATGGAAAAGTAGGCAATATTAGTTACTGGACTAGTAGTTAATAAATCAATGTGGTTGATGCATTTTTCTGTTCATCAGATTTGGCAAGAGTTTGCATCAATGGTTATCAACATCTTTTTTCTCTATTCAAGCCACTGAACAATGAAGGAAACGGAAATAAAAGACTTCGTTTACAAATACTCCATCCACTATTTGTTTATATTAACCTAATAAACTGCCCTATTTTTGTGAAGCATGTCATCTAGGAGCATATACTTTCTTTTGTTACCTTCCGGGTTTTCTTTTTTCAAACTTGAAGTCTGATAATTTTCATCCTCTCAAATCTCACTTTTCTTAGGTTAGTAAAACGGATTAATGTAATTCTGTTCTAACTTCTATTTCTGCAAAATCTGTTTTAGTCTTATTAAGAAGTTAAAAAAAAAGAGAACATTGGAAAAGTATCCATCACTAGATACCACACACAGAGAAACAAGCAAGAGTTTTCACTACAAGCATACTATACAATTTACATTGCATATTGGACATTTTACACTTGCAGTTCAGATCACTTCTGCTAAATAGGAGAGGTTGCTCAAGTTTTGGGTACGGTAGTGGATGTAATCTCAGGGGTACAAGTGATGGATTCTTACTTTCTTGGGTTGGCTGCTGACTGTTTTTTTTTTAAAATTTCATTTATCAGCTGGCCTCTCTTGCTACTTATTTTGGCCTTGGACAGCAATTACATAGGTAAAAAGTTTTTCCTTTTTTGTATGTGCTAATCCCCTTCGTTGAAAAATATTTTTGTAACGTGAGCTTTATGTTCTTTGGTCCCACTGTATACCTTTATCGACTAGTAGGTCGGACAACATGGACTAGGCTTATTTCCTTCTTTTTAACTTCTCAATGTGCTTGTTCTTGCTCAATATACTAAAATAAGCATCATAGAATATGTAAATACAGTTTGCTTCATGTCTTCTTTTTCTTGTTTTCTTCAACTTTGTTATGTAAGTTACCACCGTGTTTTTAGCATTCTTTTTTCTGGCCCTTGTTGAAGCAGGGGATTGAGATGGTCGCTCTTGTTATTCTAACAGATTTTAGTTACTCCAATTTAAACACTGTGAAATTGCTGCTGTAGGAAATGTAAAGTGCTCTTCGTTTGATACTTTGGATACTTCTTTCATGTGGAATTGCAAGATTTACTCTTTCAAATGATATTGAATATTCCCTGCGACTATTTTCAGGAGTTTGGATGATGTCCGAATGAATCTTGAAGTGCTGAAGTACTGTGCAACTGTCTTGTTTATGGTAAGCTAGTCATCCATCACAGCTAATGGTTTTTGTTTGTATGATTGGTGATGATGCAAAAGTTGGTGTGTTGAAAGTTAATTACTTGTCAAGTTACTTTCATTGTTCCTTGTCGGGTCCTTTGACAGCCATTAATATTTGAGTGGGATACATCTAAACTAGGTGCATCGCGCTAAAAGTTGGAGAACATTGAAAATTAATTTCTTGCCATATGAGTTGGCTTTTGGCTGACTACTGGCAAAGGCAAGAGTTTGACGACTAGGATAACATATGATGTAGAACTCGTCACAACTTGACTGGTTCAACACTTTGTGTGTTGATATATAGTCAAAGGACAGGTTGCCACTGCTGAGCCTCGGTCATGACCCTTAGGATGGCTTTTGGTGGACTGACCAAAATTTAATTCATCAAATGTTTATATAATACTGAAGCTCTGCAGGTAATAAAGTTAAGCCTTGTTTGGATTTTGATCCAGTGTCCCAGATTGGATCCTATTGTATTTTCATTCCTTTTGGTTCTGGTACTTCCATTGGCCCTCTGACACTTAGCTCATTCTTAAATGGATTGCATTCACGTTGATGTTATGAACTCAGATTTGATATTATTTGCTTTTCTAACTTCTGTTTGGGCTGAACTTTGCTGCAGGAATCCAGCCTGCCAGACATATTTACAGAGAATAGCTGGGTGTCTCCTAATGCTATTACAAGAAGTCGAACAATTGGGAGAGCTACTCCAGAGAAGACTGGCGTCAGTGCAGATACACCCTCACCAAGCACCAAGATAGAAAGTCATGTTGAATCTACAGCAGAAATCAATCCTTTTAACATGGACAAATTGGAAGAATCCCTTCTGTCAGAAGTCATGGAAGATGAATCTGGTTCATATTCTCCAGGATCTTCCACAACTGCAACTGAGAACTTCATTGGCTGGACTGACTTCTTAGAACCAAATGAAATCTCCGTACCTTCTGTCTCAGTAAGTCTTATCCCTTTTTATCGTGGGTCTCAGAAGATACAAGTATTGCACGACTATGGTGAACTACTAGTTTGTTGTAGACGAATGAAGGTGCGGTTTGATATTAGTAAGAAGTATGTCAATAAAGTTGGTTGGCCACGACTGAGTTTTGTGGTTGATGCATCATCGGACCTGTGCAAAATCTTGGATGTAGTTGATGATCGGGCTCAAAAGCTATCTGTGGACTCAGGTAGCAGCTCAGAGTGGAGGCCTGTGGTCACTAGAAAGCCTGCATTTATGAACTATCCTACTGTCCGTTTAAAGTAAGTTTAGATCTTTTTCTCCCCCCTCTACAAGTTAATATGCTTAGTTTTCCAAGACCAGGTAAAATGCTTGCCATTTTCTTACATGTATAGTTCATGTTAAAAAAAAATTCATCCCTTCTCACCTCAGGATTTCTAATATTAGAATGTGGATATATGTCACTAACAAATTATGTGCCCTTATCCCGATCGAGTCACTACATGAGTTACTTACGAAGTTCTTCAGTTTTAAGGTTATCCCAAGATTCTTATTATAAGTTAGGACATAAGAGTTGTGAAATACACCAGACCTTTTACTGATGATAGTCCTCTTGTGCTATTAGCTAACTTCTAACATGTGTAAACATGCAGTTTACCAACTGTTATAGATGGCAATATTTTCCGTTGGATCACGGAGATATACCAGAAAGAATCTTCCACAACAGAGAAGCTCGTGATCTTTAGTAGATTTGATGTGGAAGAACTGGAATCCTTGATAACAGCGGGAACATTCGTGGACGCTTACTTCTCATTGGATTCATATGACGTTCAACAAAATGCTGGCATCCGCTTAGTTGCAAACAAGTTGATTGTACATTCCACCTGATAATTTGGATCCCAGATTTGACTTAACTGTTTATGAGATTTCACAAGAAAATCGCTGTGAAATCTGTCTAGGGTGAGAATGTGAGATTTAATTTGCTGTCTCTTGCTGGATGAATTGACAAAATGATAGCAGTCATACTTTGACTTTGTAAATGATTTTTAAATCAACTGCTTCCAAACACAGAAGCAACTAATGTTTACCTCCTTAACTCGCTTTTTAGGTACCAACTGAGTAACTTTTGTGCCTTTTTGCTTCAACAAGATAAAGACAGGAGTAAGATTTGCGTATACTCTAATTTCATCAGGTATATAGTTGTTGTTGAGCAACTTTTGTCTCTTAGCACCACTTGCATGTGGGAAGTGGATGATGTTTCAATTATAATACTACTACTACTACACCATAATTTAACTTTTCTCACCTTGTTGTCTAATAAAATATAATACAAACATCTTTTCCTAATTTGGATTAGCTTTTACTTGTTTTGTTAATTCAGCTCTTAATTTTTCATTTTATGGAATTATGTCATGTATAAGTGTGAGACATAATATGTGGTGCTCTGATTGTTTTGTAACTTTTGTCTCTCAAACGGCCACGTGACCGCACGCCACCGTGTGGTCCTTTGCTGTATGATTATTTATCTAGTAGCTCACATAAAAACTTTAAATTGCTTTTATTTAGCTTTTTCTCAAGAATGAAAGGCAATGGAAAGGCATATTGGCACAAATAATTGTTATGAAAATGAAGGATGAGAAAAGGACATGTTAACTGGTAAGCTCTCTTGGAATCAATCTTATTAAAAAGATTTATGTGTACTCTAATCTCATAAGTAAGATCATAACATGTATAATAGAATACAAGTAGACCTTAACCTTATCTGTTATAGTGAAGAGAGATTTATTTTGATAAACTCTCGACTTTAAAAAGGCATGTAAAAGAAAAGTAACCACATGATTACTAAATAATAATGCTAAAAAGGGAAAGCATCAAAGCACTACCATGTCAAAGGAGAAGTTGTGGATTTGAGCCCCCGGTTAGTTCTTACGAATTTAATAAATATATCAATTTGTCTCTCTATTATCTATGAAGAGGAGAAGTTTCACGGCTTTATTAAAACAAATTCTCATCACTCAATTTTCCATGTCGAACCAAATAATTTAGTAGTCATCCTCTCTCTCTGTACTTCGAACTAAAACTCTTCTTCAAACTTATAATTTAGTGAAATTCCCTTACCTCACACATACTACCATGTCACTTGACTACTTGCTAATCACCAACTAGTTCTCGACATGTGCTTTGCATGTGTATATTACACGTTTAAATGAAAATAAAATTTGGTTCAATTTTTTTTGGCTAAATACATATATGAAAATGTCAAAGAAAAAAACAGTTGTTACTTTACCCTCCTAACTAACTAACTAACTAACTAACTATATATGCGTGTGTGTGTGTATTAGTATCCTAGGACCATCGGGTGGTGGGGGAGATTATCTCCGAACAGGTGATCATCATGGTAGATGTTTTTAATCATATGCAAGATTTGTAATAATATAACCATGAATAAATAACAATTCTGGTGATCCATCTTCTGGAGTTTATTCTTCATATATCAATCCTGATATCCCAAACCATGATTCTCCTATCAAGGAACCAAGCATATTTGCCCAAGAAGCTAAGATGGTTTCATTTTTTGAATTCATCAAGCCTGAAAAACTTTTTCTTTGTGACAATTCAAATGATGAATATGAGTATATCTCAGCCATGGTACTGATGTAGCCATTTGAATTCCATACAATGAAGTATATAAGCCTATTTACAGTGATGTAACCCTTTAAATTCCATACATAAATGATTAAACTCCTTTCATTTTTCATGCATCTTTTCAAATTTTCTAATAAAGTGATTAAGTCTTTTCAACTTTCAAATTAATTGACAGAAAATGTTGTTCAATAATATTATCTAATTAATTAAAAATTTAATTACTTTTTAATTTGTTGTAAGGGCTAAATAGTAATTCAATTTTGAAGTTGAGAGCTTCCCACTTATAATAATATATGATTAGCTTCATTCTCGATTTTTATCCCTTTTCATTCAGAATTATATCCTCAATATATTAAAATTATATCATATTATAACTAATCACCTCCGCACAATAGAAAAAACATCTCTCATCGAAGAATATATTTTGTTTGATTTCATAGGGATCAAGATAGAACACATGAATTTATGTGGTTGTAAGATAGTAGAATATAATACGTGGAAAGTAGGAAGAAAAAAGAGTGAAAAGGGAAAAAGATCAAAAAGGGTAAAAGAAAAGTGTGAGGTATATTTAGGGAGGATATGTTTGTTAGAGATAGAGGAGATGCCATGTGTAAAAAGATTTGTTGGATTGTGAATTTGTGAAGGATCACATGGTGCAATATGTAAAATGTTTCTTATTGGTTATTGAATTCGATTCGGCTTCCAAAATTTAATTCAAAGCCTCTATTTTCCCCACCACTTATATACATATTCTTTACGTGTGAAGCCAACTTACATTCAATTCAATCCACAACTTACATCAATGGTCAATAACACACTTTTTTTTATCTCAATTTTAATTTCATTCAGCTATTATTAGCGAGAAATCTAAAAACCGTAATAACAGTTTGAAAAATTTACTAAAATTTTTTTTATCATGACAAGTTGCTTATCATAGACAAGCTAACACTATGGGGACTTGTTGATAAAAGCAATATGTCCTTTAGACAATCTCACATTTATTGTTTGAATGTACATCTCATTAGAGGAATGAAGGAGATTATTAAGATGGTAGGGTTTATTGAGGCCCCTATTGGATGGTGACTTGGGTTATAACAAATTGCAATTGAACAAGTGGCACTAATAAAATTTACAGAATGACATTAGCTGGAGCACAAAATTCTAGGATTTTCTAGCAGAAAAAAAAGTGAAGATATCATTGTCTAGTTCTAACTTTGGGCCAGTGACAAAAATTACCAATAAAATAATATACTTCCAAAACACCCTTATATATACCATTTTAACCTAACAAATGAGGAATAAAGATAACAATCTCATGATGCATAATACATGTAACTAAATTCTTTCTTCTTATTGCTAAGACATATTAAAAAAAATAGTCATTATTATTTATCTTTCACTTGAGACGTCAAGTTCTCAATTACTTCATTCATCTCGTGCAATTTTTTTCTAAAAAGGTACTCGCTCTGTTTTCATTTATATGTCATCATTTTGAATTTCACATGTATTAAAAAACTAAGCAAGTTTACTATTCGACTTTTATTTAATTTATTTTTGGAACGCAATCAATCAATGAATATATGAATTAATTTAGTTTTATTACCAATGAACATGAATCATTTACTTAACTTTTCTAAGTTGATTAAATATATATTTTTAAGGCTAATAAAGCATAAGGATAATAAGTGAACAATTATTTATGCGATGACATGTAAAAAGGAACGTTGAGAGTAGGAAAACCAAAAAAAAGAAGATGTGAATGGATAAGATGAGAAAAAGAATAACATGGTTGAAGATTTATGGCAAGTTGGTTTCACACGTGAGGAATCTATACGCGTGCGTGAAAAATTGGGCCTTCCAATTTCTTATTTCTTGGGACCCGAATCCAAAATCCAAATCCAATAACCAATAAGAACCCTTATACATATTTTTTTTTCCTTTTTTCAACAAATTCACCATCCAAACACGCCTTTACCAGATCTCCATGTGACGTGGCATCTCCTCTATCTCTAACAAAATATCCTCCCACACCCCCTAAATATCCTCCCACTCACTTTTTGCCCTTTTTGCTCTTTTTCTTTTCACTTTTCTTTTCCACGTAACTTACTTTCCACTATCTTACGCCGCGTGCCACCTACGCCTACTTCATCCAATCGTCACCGTTCATTCGTTCCTTATTCTACGGCTCGGATATTTTTACCCCTAAAACACAGCGCACTTTAGCTCTAACCATCTACCTAAAAAGTGCTATATTAAAATTATTTTATTTTTCGTCGGCCTGAGAAAAAGCTGAAGCTTTTCGACGACCACTCACAACCTTACGAACCAGAAGAGTTTTTTTTTTTTTTGTTGTTGCTAACTTGACTTTTAGTCTAGGTTAGGTAGAATCGATTTAGGAATTGTTGTACAGATTTACCGGAAGTAGTTTCTTGCTAACGTGCGCCAGCGGATCGGTCGGAGAATGGTGATGTTTTGTGAATTTATGAATTTTTCCGGTTGTTGATTATATCCGATGTGCCGGAGATTTTGCTGCTTGTTTGTGTAGTACAGGACAAGGAAACGGGATGTATATACTTGCGTTGGATAAGATTGACTAGGTGATCCGCTAATGAAACCGGATGAATTAGAAACCCTAAGTTTTGATTTAACTAGTAGTGATTAGTGAAGAGATGGAAGTGGTTTTAATGGAGGTTTTGTAGTTGTGATATTGGGGGAGTGTGGGGGTTTGGAGCTGGAATTTTGGAGTTAGTTGATTTGAGTATTTTCCTGGTGATGATGGAGAAGAATAAGATTATTAAGAGTGGGGATGGGTTCATTGATAGGAGTAAAGTGCGGATTTTACTGTGTGATAAAGATCTCAGTAGCTCGCAGGAAGTTTTAACACTCTTGTGCAAATGTTCTTATCAAGGTAATCTTTCAGTCAGCTTTTGTTTTTAGTGAAGTTCTTTGAGTTCCTAGTTTATGTTTTTTCTTTTATTCCATTATTGTTAGTAATATGGATGTGTTGTGTGCGATTTTTTTATGAGATGATTTATGTTTTGTCCTAAAGCAGGTAGTAGATTGATGTGAACTAAGGTCTTATAAGTACTGTTGTTCTGACTTTTGAGTGGAATGGTTTTGTTAATTTTAATTGGACTCTCGTGTTTTTACAGATGATAGATCACTTGCTTTATCAAATATGAGCTCTGATTTTCCAACCTAATCATGTTACTTCTCCTTGATCATTTTGAAAATTAATGTTCATTCAGTTTATCTCTCAGCTCACTTCTAATTAAATGTTGATGTCTTGTAATAATAGTGATAGAGGCTTTCTTTCACTCGTCTAATTATTGAAGGTCTTGGGGAGGAGTGGGGCAGATTCAGTTTTGCAACTTTGCCAAAAGGTTCAAGTTCATCAATCCCCAGTTCTTCCCCCTTCGCAACAAAATAAGAAGAAATTGGTAATGGAGTGTAGAACTGGATCTTTAAAAAGGAAATAGTTTGCACATATTAGCTTAGTTGGTATTAATTAATTTCCATCTCAGAATAGATTGATGAACAATGAAAACAAACTTAAGTATACAGAACACCTGGGGGCTAACAGTGACTGGGGTAAGATGCTTGTGTTACTGTTAGTAAGTTACTCTTTTTTTGCGCCTAGGTTAGTCTGCAGTTCGCTACTGGGCTTATAATACACATGATATTTTTTAAGGCAGCACTGCATGTTCTTGTGTTGATGGATGTTCTTGTGTTGATGGTGGTAATTGTTTCTTTTCAGTGACTTTAGTGAGGTCACCCAGACAGGTGATTGATGCACTGAATGCTGAAGGACCTGATATAGATATCATTC